GAGCAGACGTCTGATAGCCTAAACCCCAGCAAACAACAACCATAAAGGACGCAACCCCTTTAACCCCCTTGGGTGGTAAAGGGAGTGTCTGTAGTCCTTACCATGCGCCAGGGATGAGTGAATGGCCATACGTCGGTTAGCGCCCCAAACCACAATGCACATTTCCAACAGGTGCTCTACCCACTACACTAACGGCCATTGACTGGTTGGTAGGTTCGTTGGTTGTCAATCATTGACTAAGCAGCAGAAAATTACTTAGGTTAATTCACGATTCCGAAACTATCTTTCCTCCGAAACTATCTTTCCTTCTAAGGCAGCGCAATTTTCTTTCTCTGAAGAAAAAAATCGAAAGTCTTTTTTATTTCGGAATTCTTGTTGATGTTGCAATCTCTTTCACCCTCTGACGTGCAGAAAAGTTCTACTTGCATTTCTTTTTGAATCAGACTCGCTTTCATTCACACTTTTCATGTATGCAAACAGTAGCGCAGCAAACTGGCGACATGCACCCACACAAAACTCAGAGATATGGCAACCCAGATACGAGTTCACTTTCAATGGCTATGGCGACTCAGCGCCCAAACAACTCTCTGTTCGCATACACCGGATCGCCCTGGATATCCCACACGCGTCTCTCTGAACACTCACACATACACACACGCACTACACACTAACTCTAGCTATGGCGGCTATGGCCACTCACACATACACACACGCACTACACACTAACTCTCGCCCACTTCAGCTCCGGGCTCACTGCAGACCTCCTTGCACAAGTCGCTGTGGCAGCGCTTCCGCATGGCTCACGCAGGAATGAATGAATGGCTGGGCACTGCCTCTTGATTTATACTTCTGAAGCTCGTTGGTCTGCCCCTTTCCATCGGCCCATGGTGCTCACAGTCCCTCGTGGTACTTGCTGGACCGGACTGGGACTGACTGGACCTTACCGCTGACTGCTTAGGGACTCACTGCTATCCTACGGAGGTCGTACTGCAATCGTACTGCAGTTAGTCCCCCACTTGACTCACCACTTGCCCACTTGCCCACTTGCTGACCTTCTAGAAGGACTACAGCTAGGACTTCTGGAACTCACTAAGACTTCTATTCTACAGATCTACAGATCGAACCCCTGCTACCTATGGACCCTACGACAGCCTACCAACTGTTACAAATACACAGGTCGCAGGTTCAAGCCTTGGGGTCGACACAGATACTGTACATCGGTAGGGTAAGGGCTAGGGATCGAGCCCTGGGGTCTGCATCTGCTACTGCAAAAGGTGAAAACCGTTTCACTCCCGCCGTCCTAAATTCGAGGTCCTCCGAGAATAGTTTAGTCCAAGGCAGGACCTTTACCCTTCCTATCACGCTCATAGGCTCTGACTATGTCGGGAGCTGTTTCTAGAAGTTCTGTTCTAGTAAACCAGTGGTCGTCTTCCGGTTCCTGATAGGCAAACCGGACCTTATGCTGTTTCTGTGGACGACCTCTACCTCCTGTCCTAAGCACGTCTTCATCTACAATGCCGTCAATGTCATATGTGCCATCCATATCCGGAGGGATCATGGATCTCCTTGAAGGGAACTGCTGACTTGTGACACACGGCAACAGCTTTGAAGCATGGAATACTGGGTAGGTATGGAGGTGTGCTGGAATCTCTATAGTGTAGGACGGTCCATCCTCTCGCCCTTGACTTCTAGAACCGGCCACGGTCCTCTATATGCAGGCAGTAACTTCTGCGAGATGTTTTCCTCAGGTGCAAACTCTTTAGACTTGACCCAGACCAGGTCGCCTACCTGAAACTGCGATAGGCGACGGTGCTTATTAGCCTGTTCTATCATGCGGTGCTGGGCCTTCCTGAGGTTTTCAACAACAGTTGCTAGCTCTCTCTCGTGCTGTATCGCGAACTCCCTGGTTCCGGGCGGTAGCCTGTGAATCTGATCCCGGGTAAGTCCCTCAAACGGTCTGCGGGGTCTAAAGGACTTGTGTAACTCGTTGGGAGTGCGACAGGTAGACAAGTGCATGCTGTTATTGTATGCGCTGGCTACCTTGGGCAACATCTCGTCCCAATTGACTTGATCCGGTCTAATATACATGCGCAGTACTTGCTGCAGGATCTTGTTCATCTGTTTTGTGTGACCGTTAGTCTCTGGATGACGGCCAGATGACATCAACAGCTTTGACCCATGACTCTCATTAGTTCCTGCCAGTTCTGGCTGGTGAAGCGGGTGTCTCTATCACTAACTATAGACAATGGAACTCCGTGATCACTAATCCAATGATAAAAAAACTTCTGAATGACTAATTCTGTACGTGCCTCGGCAGGCAAAGGAACAAAAACTGCATACTTACTGAATTTGTCAACTATGACCATGACTTGGCTCTTGCTGTGCCTACTCTTGACACCGGCATCCATAAAGTCAATGGAGACTGAATCTCCAGGTTGTTCAGGGATAGGCAAGGGTCTGAGAAGACCTAGAGGGGCACGCGTAGTGGTCTTGTTCCTCTGACAAACTTTGCAACTGCAAACATACTCTATGCAGTCAGCTTTCATTCCTGGCCAGGTATACGCACACATCAGATTGGCTAAAGTCTTCTGCCAACCGAGGTGTCCCTCTGTGTCGTGGCATTCCCCTAAGATCAGACTACGAATTTCCTCACTGTTCGGGATGCACAGGCGGTCTACTACATTAGTATTCTCAAACAATAGTCCCTCAGTAGTGCGGTAGTCTGGTTCGGTCTTTGGGGTCTCCTTAACTCTCCTGACGAGGTCACTATAGATAGGGTCCTGCGCATACGCTTGTCTAACTTTCTCTTGCAGGTCCTTCCCTATATCCAGATAGTGTACTATAGCTCCAAAGTAGTCTGATCTCCTACTTAGAGCATCCGCGACTACATGGTACTTGCCTTTGACCGGTTTGAGCTCAAAGTCATATTGGTCTATTTCAGCGGCCCACCTAGTCAACTTAGGTGTCATTTTGGCCTGGGTCTTTAACCATCTAAGTGTTTCGTGGTCTGAGCATACTTTGAAGTGCCTCCCAAGCAGATAATGCTTCTAGTGCTCTGAAGCCTGCCTGAGAGCGTAGAGTTCTCTCTCGTACGTCGAGGTGGCTACCTTCTTTGATGGCATCCTTGCTGACATGAACTCTACGGTCTATAGCCATTGCCGTCGTCTTGCTGCAACACGGCGCCTATACCACACTGACTCGCGTCCGTAGTGACGACAAATGGCAAGGACGGATCAGCTACTTTGAGGACAGGGTACTCTATTAACGCGCGCTTCAGTCTCTTTAGCGCAGGCGTACAATCTTTGTCCCATTGCCAGATTGCCTCTTTCTTTAGCAACCTGCGCAAGGGAGCGGCGATAGTAGAAAAGTTCCTTACGAACTTTCTATAATACTTAGCTAGGCCTAAGAACGACCGCAACTCTGTCAATGTGCGGGGCGTCGGCCAGTCTCTAATTGTCGCGATCTTGCTGTCCTCAGGCTTAATACCATCTCCGTCTAATACGTGGCCCAAGTACAAAACCTGTGTCTTGGCCCACTCACACTTCTTCGCGTTGATCTTGAAGTTAGCCTCTCGTAGCTTCTCCAAGACCTGCCTCATATGACCCTGATGCTCTTGGAGGGTCCTGCTGAAAACTAATATATCGTATAAGTAGACTACTACAAACTTGTCCAACCACGGTCTGAACTGATCATTCATACAACGCTGAAATGTAGTTGGCGCATTGGTTAGTCCAAAGGGCATCACTATAAACTCATAATGCCCATATCTAGTCCGGAACGCCGTCTTGTACTGGTCATCAGGGTGAACCTCTATCTGATGATACCCGGACTTCAAATCTATCTTAGAGAAATACTTGCAACCCTGCACCCGATCTAAAAGATCGTCTATCCTGGGCAGTGGTTCAACATTCTTCACTGTGATGGCATTCAAACCCCTATAGTCTATGCACATTCGTAATTCTCCTTCCATCTTGGGGACAAATAGGACAGGTGCTCCAAAAGGAGACGAACTGGGCCTGATCCAACCTTTCTCAAGGAGCTCGTCTCACTGCTTGCGCAACTCCTCCAACTCTCTAGGGGACATCCTGTAGACTGCTCCCTTAGGAGTCCTGCTGCCAGGCTCTATTTCTATCCTGTGCTGGATGGGTCGCGACACTACTCCTGTCGGCGACTAAGTTACATCTTTAAACTCTTCCAGCAGCTTGGCAATGGTCGGATCTATGGGACTATCTCCTTCCTTAGGCTCAGTGACAGGTCTAACATATACTACAAAGACCTGGTCCTCTAACTGCTCCTTTTTTACTAGTCGCGCGAACGCAGGAGCACTGAGACAGCAGTGTGCCAGAGTGTTATCTACACCTGACACATGAAACAGGTGGGCAGTCTTAACCTCGCCTGATGGACTAGGGAGCCTACACTCATGCTCTCTCAAGTGGAGTGTGGCCCCTGTTGCCTCTCCCCAATCCATTCCTAACTCTATGTCGAAAGGGAGGTCATCCTGAACGAGGAGAGTTAGGGAATGGAAAACTTTCTCCACCTTCCCATCCTTTTCTAGGCGAAAGTACGTCTGCACTCCCTCTACGTAGTCCTCAACACGCATTGTGCGGTTGTCTGCGAGGACACTAACTATGGGGTCTGCTAACTTTTGGACTTTTAATCCTAGCCTTAACTTTTTCAGCGCTCACGGCTAATGTAACTACGGGTAGCCCCTGAATCTATAAGGGCCCCTACTCTACTCCTGAATACTTCTACATCAACTAAGATTAGTTGTCCCTTACTCTCCTTCTTCATTTTGGCCCATGCTGGCATCCTCTCCTTCAATTCCTCTGCCACACCTGTGAGGGACGTGCCTAGAGAGACACTAACACAAGCAGTCTCTGGACAGCTAGCTAGGCACGGGCCTGCAACCTCTGCCATAGGCTCATGTGGTTTGGGAGTTTCATGTACGCGGGCGCTCGCTTCCCCACATGGCCTTGAAGTAGGGGCAGTTGCGAACCCTATTGGCGGCTGCCTTTTGATTGCTGAGCAGCCCATCGGGACTGTCTATACTTAGGACAAAATTTAATTACATGGGTCGGGTCACCACAAAACACGCACTGACCCAAGTCCACGCGTTCCTGCCATACGCGCTGGTCCAAGCCCAAATCTTCCCAGGGCCTGCCCTGTGGCAAGCCTGGGTGTCATCCTCCTTGAGGTGGCCTTCCACCTCTTCGCTGGGGGGACCGACAAGAACCCTGGCGATTTGGCGGGGGACCTTGACCCCTACCTCCCACTTAGCGGTTCCCTTGTCCGCCAACCCCCTGTGCGCCCGGTCCTCGGCCTCCCGTGGCCTGGCCCCTTTGGCCCTCGCCTCCTCCTCTACCTTGCGGCCTCCCTCCAGCCGCGACAGCCGCATAAGACCTCCCTTGCCCTACGCTGTTGTCATCCTCCTCTAACCCCCACTCGATCTCACTGTAGGGGATTTCATCCGTACCACCTTCTTCTAACGTGAGGATCATATGGTCCTTGGCCCTCACTTGGCCAGAGATGGTACGACCCTTCCACTTTTTTCCCTTATCTAAGTCCTTATGCCAGAAAGTGGATACTGGCATGGACTTTGACTCATACAGGACCACCTCTCTACTCAGCACGTCGTACGTGATGTCGGCCTGTTGAGACCTCTCAAAGAAATGCCCACGCAGGGGCTCTGGCATGGCACGGTAAAATAACTGGACCAATTGGGGCTCAGTGACCCCATGGTCTGGGACGGCTACCAAGTCGTCCATGACGCCCTTGAGTGCCCTTGCACTCCTCCACTGTCGCGAGTGGATAGTCCGTAGCTTGTCAGACACTCTAACGCCTCTCGTTGGGTCAGTAAATCGCTCCCTCAAGAGCTTGAAGAAGTGAGGAAGGGGGGTGACCTTGGAGTATGCAACCAGGTTGTTTTCACAACCGGCTGCGCGTGCTAGGGACCTGGCAAAACTAGCCGCTTCATCCTTAAGGGCCTGGAAGGCGACGAGAACTTGCTCCTTAGTCAGGATGTGCTGTAAGTATACGTAACTGTTCACACTAGCCTCCCAATTATCAAAATTTTCTTCCTTCTTCCCCCCATACGCATCCGGGAATTTAAGCTTGACTGGTCCTTGCGGGGTCTGGCCTCGCTCTCAACGGCGGCTACCGCTTTGGCACCCTCGATGGCGCCCTCACAAAACTTCCCCACTATGTCTCTTAGTCGCCTAACTTCCCCTCCAACGTGGCTGACGATGTCACGCGCAAAATCCCGAAATCCTGACCGCATGGCCTTCAGGGCTACATCTTGACCCCAGCTAGCTTGGCGCTCCTCCATCCAAGCCGCACTCAACACTTCCAAATATCCCAGCATCTTGTCCATTTTGGCAGACATGTCTGTCTGTGCCTGCACTTCTTGTCTACAATCTCTCACCTTTGCCACCTCTGCGGTCAACCTGTTAACTTCCTCCCTCCTCCTCTTCTTCTCTCTCTTCATTCTCAACTTCCATTCCAACTTCTTCTCCTCCTCCACTTCTTGCCTTTCCAGGGGGTCCTCGATTGCTGCTAGCTCATTGGCTAACGCATCCCTCTCGTCCTGGGGCACATAAAACTCTTCCTCCTCATCTTCCCCCAACGATAAATTAGCAATCCACTCGCTGATCTTTTTCTCCATTGCGGCGTCCTCATTCGTTGTGCCACTACTCTCTCCTTTGACTTCCCTGCGTTTCCTTTCCTCTTCTGCTTCCGCTGCCGCTTGTTCTTCAACAGCCTTCTTCTTCTTCTCCATCTCCTCCTCCAATTCCTTCATCTTTGCCCCCTGCTCCTCTGCGATAGCTTTCAGCTTCGCCTGCTTCAGGAGCTCTTTCCTCTCCTTGGTTTTTTCTCACTAAGGCGGCCATCTTCTCCTGTTGCTCCTGGGTGTAGGGGCTAGTGCTCGTCCCACTATGGGCCTCAACCATGCTGACAGGTGCACAACCGGATTGACGGTTCCAAACCTCACTACGTAGATTCTAACCCCTGACTGACAAACCTACTGACTCAATCTAAAGACTCACAGAATCCGGACAGGGATCCTGCCAACTAGGGTCTCTAGCCTAGACCTATACTATGGTTGTCACTACTAGACCTGTTGCTGATCAGGAGGCATTTAAGGAGATCCCCCGTAACTCCTTAGGAATTATTTAACGTCGCAAACAGGACGACGCGATCAGCAAGTCTCTCAACACTTAGACGGCCTGTTGTGCAGCCCACAGCTCGGATTTTGGGCCTACCGTGCCACACCGAGCAGCCCGCCGGTTAGTACCGGTCCTTGGAAGGGTTAGGCCTCCGGGACAGTCGAGTTGTCAGACACAGTCTTTAGCCCTACTCAGCCCGTGTGGGTTTGGTCAACAAGGCCCTATCCTTCATCCACAGAGTTCCTATCACCTGGACAGAAGAGACTCAATACAGAAAGAAGAGACTGACAGACTAGACTCAGCAAGTACCACAGGGTGTGTGCACATCCATAGGGCGAGGGATAGGTTGAAGGCTTGGCGAGATTATACCGGCTCCAGCTTGGTCAAACTCGTGGTCAACAGCTTGGTCAACGCCGATCAACGCTGCGGTCAACCCCCGGTCAACCCGTGGTCAACGCCGGTCAACACCTCCGGTCAACTCCTGGTCAACCCCCGGTCGGCTATGGCTGCCGGCTTCACTTTCTCTCACCAACCCTCTTCTTCCCTTCACCTTCCTCGCCTCCTTTCACCCTGCTGTCTTCTCTCTCTTTCTTTCTTTTTTTTTTTTTTTTTTTTTTTGTTCGTCTCTCCTTCCTCCTCCTCAGCTATGGCTTCCCTCCCTCCCTTCTCGGTCTCTCCCTTTGTCCGGTCTCTCTCCCTCCTTCGTTACTCCGTGGTCAACTCCGCGGCTATGGCCGCAATCTTCTTCTTCGTGGGACTGCGCGGCACACTTCACAGGTCAGTGACAACCAAACTTGTATCGCTCATCTCTCTCTCTCTCTCTCTCTCTCTCGCCGTAGCG